AGTTTGCCGCTAAAGGGTCAGTTAGCCCGCTAGAGAGATGCAACTCACCGGAAGGAACCCATTTATCTTACATACCACATACCATCACAACAATTGGCCAGTTTGTGTGATTTTGTAGTGCAATTGTTTTCAATGTATTGGACATCGCACGCTTCAACAACACTGGCTGCATAGAAGAAGAATTTAGTTGAAGGAGCTTTTGCCGTTTTGAAGTTTGGATCACCGCGTATCGGAGGGAAGAAAACAACTTTTCGCGGCCAGACTCCCCAGGCCTATTCTCCTCTCCTTTTTGCCGAATTCTACGATCCGTAGTTCCGTAGAAAGACATGGTACAGGCTTGGGAAATAGTCTGTTGCTTCGTTCACAAAAAGACTCTCTGGCCACTATAACTATCATCTTCAAAAAACCTACACTATACACACACACAACACCCACCAAAACAATATCACACTGTCGAAGGCATGAGACCTCCGAACTCTAGTTTATTATAAAACATTCATCTTTTAAAGCATAATTACGATATAGAAAAAAAAAGGCGCACATATTCTAAAGGCTACATTGTGAAAACTACAGCTGTGCATTAAGGTAAACATAACAAAATTTTGGGTTTAATAATTGGCCACTCTACCTCTGTGCGAAATTTCAGGTCAGTGGAACAAGTCGATCGCCGATCGGTGTAATATAGCCAGCTGCCGCCGCGCCGCGTGCCTGCAAAGCTGGTGTGTTACGCAGAAAGGCGGTTATACCGGCTATACAGATACAGATACAGATACAGATCTTGCTGTAAAATAACATTTGGATCCATTTGACGTTAAAACTGTCCCGTCACCGTAACATCTGCTTGGAGATAACCGTGGAGCCTTGAACTGCGGTGAGAGACTAAAGGTCAGCGGGAGGTCATCCTTTTCAACATGGCCGCTGGGACTGATCATAGAGGTTTGTTTTCGTTCGTTGTTATAGAGTTTTAGAGCAAAACTAGAAACACAGCGGCTCTGTGGTTTGAGTTTAAAAGTCTAGGCTAGTCAGGGACTGTCTGTTTTGGGCCTCATTCACTGAAACGCATCATTGGTGATTTTGGGGGCCGTCTCTTACTTGTAAATTTACGTCCTTGCTTGCTAGTGCACGTGTATGGAGGGAAATATATGGGGCCTGCATGCCCTATATTTCGAAAGGCGTAAACGGGCCTTTTTAGTTTTCGTAATCCGTAGGCAGCCTCCCCAAAATCAACGTAATTCGTAATCAGTAACGTTACATTAGCCACAAAGCGTACAGTCGTAATCAGCTCTGAGAATTTAACGTACAATTCGTAATCGGCGGCGAAAATTTTGCCCCCCCCCAAACACACACACACACACACACACACACAAGCAACTATATTCAACGTGTACTAAGTACTACTAGCATGGAGGTAGGAAAATCTTCCTACCTCCATGTAGTGCTGCGTACCTAATTAGGTTCAGGTCCGGATTCAAGTCCAGAGGTTTAGGTTCAGTTCCAGACTTGTAAGTCCGGACCTAAACCCATGGCATATACAAAATTGCATGTTGGCAACCTTGCAATGTTGTCTGGGTGAAACTTTGGCTACATAACATGGAGGCTGACACTTGACGATGCCCAATGGCAATGTTTTCTTCATTTTACAGCAAAGATTTTGCAATCTACGGAAGGTTTTAGGTGGTTTGGAAAGAAAAGGGGTATGTGAAATGGTCTTTTATGGTAATAAGTCTGGACTCGGTTCTTGACTTTTAGGTTTTTTTTGGACTTGAACCTAAACATTCTTACAAGTCCGGATCCAAGTCCAGTGAACCGGTATGCAGCACTACCTCCATGGTACTAGTACGTAGCAGTAGTTTAGAAAACAACCATGCTACTAGCATTACTAGTACTAAGGCGAAACTGCCATGTTGGTTAATCTCCAAGCAGATGTTTCGCTTGCTCCGGAAGACAGTATCAAAGTTTTCTTTTCAAACAGTACTTTTGTTCTCAAACCATTATGCATGAAAGGGCTTCCAGTTTTTGAGTCATGAAATATTCTTAATATTGTCTTTCATTTTTTTTCCATTCAGGGATGGACAGAACTGGAGACACACCCTCGGAGAGTGAGGAGAGCAGTTTTAGGACAACTCCCGAGTCTTGCTTTACTGTGAACAGCCAAACAACTGGAGAAAAGCCTGCTGGGGAAAATGCATCAGACCAACACCTAGCAAAACACACCGGTGAGAAACCCCACATGTGTGGGGAGTGTGGGTACAGGGCAACTCAAAAGTCACACTTATCCGAACACACGAGAACCCATACAGGAGAAAAACCCTACATGTGTGGGGAGTGTGGGTACAGGACAGGTAAAAAGTCTCACTTATCCAGACATATGAGAACCCATACAGGTGAGAAACCCTACAAGTGTGACCAGTGTGACTATTCTACCGCACGGAAATCTGAATTGGGCACACATATGAGAAAACACACTGGTGAGAAACCCTACATGTGTGGGGAGTGTGGGTACAGGACAACCCGAAAGACTACCTTATCCCGACATATGAGAACCCATACAGGAGAAAAACCCTACAAGTGTGACCAGTGTGACTTTTCTACAGCATACAAAAAATCACTGGACATACATCTAACAAAGCACACAGGAGACAAACCCTACATGTGTGAGGAGTGTGAGTACAGGACAGTTAACAAGTCATTCCTATCCGTACACATGAGAACCCATACAGGAGAAAAACCCTACAAGTGTGATCAGTGTGACTATTCTGCAGCACAGAAAGTCAATTTGGCAAGACATCGAACAACTCACACCGGAGAGAAACCCTACATGTGTGGGGAGTGTGGATACAGGGCAGCTAACAAATGTAACTTATCCCACCATGTGAAAACCCATGCTATAGAAAAACCCTACAAATGTGATCACTGTGACTATTCTACAGCAAATAAATCCAGTTTTGACGAACATCTCACAAAACACACTGGTGAGAAACCCTACATGTGTGACAAGTGTGGACACAGGACAGCTTACAGGTCTGCTCTAACCCAACATATGAGAACCCATACAGGAGAAAAACCCTACAAATGTGACCAGTGTGACTATTCTACAGCACGGAAATCTGATTTGGACAAACATCTAGTAACCCATACCGGTGAGAAACCCTACATGTGTGAGGAGTGTGGGTACAGGACAGCTTACAGGTCTAACTTATCCAAACATATGAAAACCCACACAGGAGAAAAGCATGGATGAAAAAGGATGATGCAAATTACTGACGAAAGCAAGTGGACGCTACCTAAAACGTCTGACGTTTCCAAAATCACGTCCAGTCGCTTGAGTAACTGCTTTTTGGAATGTCTTATTACCTTCACCGAGGTATGTTCAGTGATGCTTCTTAATAAAAAGTAGTGTCCCTTTGCGGCAAAATCACCAAAAACGGTTTATAACATATTTAAAAGTTAAAACTTTTGGTCCAACATAAAGAATTTCTCTCACCTAGAGCTTTCGACCAGTCACTCTGGTCTTCCTCAGTAGACTGACCCAGTGAAGCTTGTCACATGGCTTCTTTGAAGTGTGACGTCAACACTGTGTCACACTTTTGTATGAGAAATAAAGGAAGCGATGGCAAGTGACTGAGTGTGTTCGCATCATTTATTATAAAACATTCATCTTTTAAAGCATAATTACGATATAGAAAAAAAAGGCGCACATATTCTTAACTACATCGTGAAAACTACAGCTGTGCATTAAGGTAAGGCCACACCAATTTAATTTCTTGGTTAATGGATTTTTCTAGAAAAATAATGGAGTGGGCGGTCAACACACCAGGCTGGTTCAAAATCTAAACAATGAATTTTGAACTTTTAATGATACCATTGCATTGAAAGATGGAATAACTGTAACAACTAGGATGAAAAGGTCTGTTTTCAACTGTTCGGGCAAAATATGAGCATTTTGCAGTTGATTCTGGATTTTTATTTTCATTTGCAAATCAGAAAAAAATGAAGTGGCGAATCCGTTAACCAAGAAATTAAATTGGTGTGGCCTAAACATAACAAAATTTTGGGTTAATAATTGCCCACTCTACCTCTGTGCCAAATTTCAGATCATCTTGCTGTAAAATAACATTTGGATCCATTTGACCTTAAAACTGTCCCGTCACCGTAACATCTGCTTGGAGATCACTGTGGAG